GGCGGCGGGCGCCGCTGCTGCGCGCAGGGCCGGCCGGTTCGGCAGCAGGGGCCGTGGGCGTGCCCATGCCGCTAAGCCGCTGCCACTGGCCCTGGCTGCGAGGCTGGTGCGTTGCATGGCGACGCGCTTTGCTGTGCGTGCCGCGTCGCAGGCGCCCAGTTTCCTCGGCTGAGGTGTGTCGCTCGCTGGACCTGCTGCAAGGTTTTCAGGCGGTTTGTACAGTGTGAGTGCGCCAGTGCACGCATGGATGCGGGGGACCAGCGGCCTCAGAATCAAGTACTGGCCGAGCACCCGCCGAGCTGGCTCTTCAAGGCCGCTTTCATACAATCGTACTTATTACCTTTGGTATGAGGCTGCTTCTTGATGCTGTTGAGTGCCGTTAGCGATCTGTATCTCCAGGTATCGCAAGCTTGGGCCTTGCTCTGCTACCTCGGAATGGATGATGGGTCATACAATTTGGAAACCATGCATAAACCAATGGAAACGAATAGCCGAACTTGATGACCAGTGGTGCATGCGCGAGTAGGGGCGAGCACCGTGAAGCAGCAGCGTGTGTCACCGAAACAGGTCCGCGCCGGGCATCTCGTCCTACTGGAAGCAAGTGCTCCCACTACAGTGCTGTACTAGTGATTCACCATCCATGTAATGCTAAACCCCGCTCACAATCAACTAGCTGCCGCGGCAGCGGCTGCCGCCATCTGAAAGCCGCCTTGGCACACAACCCTGTCGTGCCGGCCGTAATCGTCCCTTTCCGGGTCCTCCGGGTCCCACAACGCTGGGCAGGGCTGGCCCGTGCGCGCCAGCAGGAAGCCAATGAATCTGAAGGTCCGCACGGCCTGGAAACGGTCGTCTCGCGGCTCCACCTGAGCAGTCGGGAGGCGGGCAGGCAGGGCAAAGCAGGAGGTGTGTGGTTGCTGTATACACCATGCATGGCCGAGCGCAGAGGGTGTGGCGCAAGGTCCCAAAAAGTAATTTGTAATCACATGCAGGCACTATTACAGGCGGTCAGGCGCAATATGGGACCCATGCAAGGCGTCACGCCAGGCCGAGGGCCGTGCGGCCCTGACAGCCCCCCCATGACGAAACATAACCGTACTGTGCGTCTGCATACAGTACCGCAAACGTCATGCCACACCTGCCGGCCTGTGTATATGTCGGTGAACCGCCCTTCCCTGCACCGGTTGCAGCCCAGCGCAATCCCATGCCGCCGCGTCGGCGACGCGGGCGCGCGGCCGTCCGAGTCGACGTCGCGCCAGAACGTTGCGTTGGCGGCCGCTGATTCAGCCTCATCCAGCAGCCACCCTGCGCGCCGCAGGAACGCCCGCAGGTACAGCCGCTGCACCACCCGGTTCGCCAGGCGCCCCTCGGCAACCGCCGCGCCGTGCGCGGACAGCTGGACGCACAGCTGTTGTGCCGCCGCCCGCGCGTCGCTGGCGTTGCCGCCGGGCAGCAGCGCGCCGCCGCACGCCACGCCGCCGGCGAGGGGCGCCACAAAACCCGGGAAGCAGCCGCAGTGCTCGGGGGCGCCGGCAGTGGGGGCGGCTCGGGAGCCGTTGCCGCACAGGATGCATTCGCCGCCGAGCCGCGGGCTGAGGGCGCTGCCGGCAGGGCACACGGCTTGGCCAAACGCGTCCAGAGCGTAAGCCCTGACAGGCGGCAGCGTCAGCGGGCTGCCAGGTGTCGCGGCCGTCAGGTTGAGGGTGCTCACGGCTGCCGCGCGGATGGCGTCCAGGCACACCTGCCGTTGCCGACGCGGTTGGCCGGTGGACATGGCGATTGGCGTGAACGTGTGAGGTGTGAGCCTGGAACTTGCTGGCGCCCGGTTGGAAAAGGCCATCGAAAAAATTTGGGCGCCCACTTCAAGGTGCAGAGTGTCGCCAGAATGACCACCCCCGTGGGCGAACAACAGGCGCTGAACAATGGGTCGCCACAGAGCTCCAGGATCCCCCTCACCTCGACATCAGCTGTCCCCGCAGCCACGAGCCCCTGCGCCGATGCCCAGGCGCACGCGTTGAACAGCGGCCATGCAAGCGCCGGCCGCGCCGCCGGCCGCAGCGCGCACATGGCGCCTTGCTTTGAGCCGCGGACTGCAAACGCGAAGGCCCCGCTGCCGCCGCTGCCGTAGGCGTAGGTGAGGGGCGCCATCCAGAAGCTGGGCGCGTTCACGGCGGCGCTCGTCGAGGCGGGTGGGTTGGGCAGGCGCACCGTCAGCTGGTAGCGCTGGCTGTGTTTCCACTGGCCTGCGCGGTGCAACGGAGGAACCATGGTCAGTGTCTTGCGACGAGGTGGCGCAACATGCGGCGCGCAGCAGCGGCCAGGCTCAGGCATGCACCTGTGATGAGCGCGCAGTTGCCAGGTGCCCTGGAGGAGTCCTGCGCCTGGGCCAGGCGCTGCGCCGCTGCTCCCGCCGCCCCGGCCCTATCCGCTGCCGCTGAAGGCGAGGCCTGCGCAGCGGCGGCGGCGGTGGCGGCGGCAGCTGCACCAGCAGCAGGTGATGCTGTTGAGGGTTGCAGAGTGCCGCTGGGAATGGCCACACCGTCCTGGTCCCACTGCAAGTCGTCGTACCTGTATGCGTGTGTACGTGCGCGCACACATGCGCATGCGTTTGTGTGTGTGCGTGTGCGTGAGTGTCTGTTTGTGTGTGTGTGTGTGTGTGTGTGTGTGTGTGTGTGTGTGTGTGTTTTGAGACTCTGGTGTTTGGATATGTTTGTGCGAAAACCATACCCTCACGCGCATTTACTGGCGCACCACAGCTGCGGGCGTCTTGCATGGCACGCAAACATGTGGACTTGTGTAAACATGTCACATGTTACATGTGGACATTGCTGCCAGCCACATGCAGGCGCAACCAAGCATTTTCTCGCCTGTAGCTTGCGTAGCTTCGCGCGTAGTACGGGTCTGTCGCCAGCACGCTGTGCGCGCTGCCCACCTCCACGGCATTCACTGGCCACGCCGTCTGGAACCAAGGCGCTGCGGCCCAGTCCGCAGCTGCGGCCGTGCTGGCCGTCGCAGCACGTTCCACTTCGTCAAGCGTCCATATATTGCCGCCCTCCTTCAGGGATGTGACCGCCACGTCCTCGCGCACAAATGCGAACTGGTCGTCGCCGGCGCACAACAGCATGCCGTCGGGTGCTGTGGCAGCGGGCGTGGTGATCTCAAAAGTGACGGAGTTGTATGTTCCTAAAGCTAAGCTGCTGTACATGAGAATCCTGCACACGACCCCGAACATCGTGTTCGAGCTGCTCGCAGCTCAGATCATGCTTGCTTTCAAAATCATCTCGGCGTTATTATCAGCGGTAATTATGTGATTGCTTGTTGAAATGCCACTGGCCGTGTTGCACGGCGTCCATGCTTGTGTTGCCGGGGCAGTCTCAGGGGATGTTTGACCACACCATGACGCGGTGCCGCCCGCATCACTGGCGCCTCTGGTGCTTGTATGAGCAGCTGCGGATGGCCCTGCACGCCAATTCATCACCATTTGCTGTTATGTTCTGTTTTGGCACTGATCCAGGATTATAATGATAATCAGCTAGAGATCTTGTCTGACCAACAGGCTTGTGATGTGCTGCGTGTGCCCCAAGGCCCCTGTCTTTCCACACGTCCATGTAGAAAGCCTACAGGTGCCTCAACCCCTAAGAAATCTGCCACGGTGGTGCTGTTGCGCAAGTATGCAGGTGTTGCACGCACACTTGTGGCATTCTCATACACATACAGCCGTGTATTGGCAGGCCATTGCACTGCCGGTTTTGCTTGTCACCTCTGCCGCCTGCCACTTGGTAGGGCTTGCCTGTGTTGGACGCATGCATGCGGCCATACACCTGGTTGGCGCCCCAGGCGTCGCACTTGGTCAAGACCGCGGCTTTGGTGGAGCCCACCCAGCATTTTGTGAAGCAGTGGCTTCACTCCGTTCCCCGCACAAACAGAGTGGGCGGCTGCTTACACATGCTTGCAGCTGCTGGCAGGCCGCGCGCGCGGAGGAGTGTCCCTAGTAACGGTCAATAGACGGTCCGCGCGCCTCCACAGACGCAATGTTGTGTGCTCAGTGTTGAAAGAGGGAGGGTTGAGACGCGCGTGCCGCGCCGCAGCTGCAGCGCGCACAAACAGCAGCCCGCGCGGCGCGACCGCCAGGCCTGGCGGGCGAGCCGAGCAAAGCGGCAATGGCGGGGGCAGGAAAACGAGCACGCTGTGGCTGCAAACTCAGCAGGTATGCACAGAGTGCCGGACAAGGACGGGGCCGGAATCGGGGGCAAGCGGCTGCGGGCCCGCTGCCCGGGTGCCATATGACAAGGCAGGGGCAGAACCGCCGCACAGGGGCA